AGAATTTCATTAAATAGGCTGTTTATAGGCTGAATATGGAAATAAAAATATTTGTCCAGTTTTAATGTGACCTTGAGGTACTGATTAGATCTTTTATGGTGTTTTGATGTACTAGCTCAAAGATTTTCATCTAGGAAAATTTTTTGCATTTACATCGTATTCATTAAATTTTTCTCTGGTTTAAAAATGCTTAAAAAATGTCAAACACAATACTATAACAATTTGAATTGCATCAAAAGTACATATATATTTCGAAAGTAAGATTTGATGTATGCTGTCAGTATACGTATATTACTAGACATTTGTGGCTTAAAAAAGAAGACAAGTAATGGGTAAGGAACTTTTTGGGAGATGACAGTAGAAGAGTGGTCAATATTGATAGAATTTCTTTCGCAATTGCAATATGACAAAAACTGACAATCTGCCCTCAATAAGAATCAGTATCAGCTCAATTACTTAGTGACGTGTTTTAATCAAGTCCAACATTTCAAAGTAAATCTTTTAAGAATTGAACTTTAAACCTTCAGTATCAATAACTGTTTAAAACAAACATTTAATTTGTCTCTATATTCTATTTCAGGACCTATGGTACCTATTATATTTGTTCTCATCCTGAACATACATGAAATATTTGACACTGGACATAAAGCAAAGTACAATCAATCATTCTATATTCTATGTTTCAATATTTTTATGATCGGAATTTTGATATTTTATGAGTCAAATAGGGGGAGGAGCTACCAAAATTTAAATGTAAAGTAGTATTCTTTCATGATTAATGGAAAAGTGAAATGTAATAGGCACCAGGGCTGCTATGTCGTCATGAAAAAAATTCTAGTATTGTTCATACTTCGCTCAAATTTAGTTTATATGGTGCTATTTTCAGAAATATGTAAAAGTTTTGTTCAGTATCCTATTTTCAAGCTGATGGTTTTGCAAAATAGTGGTATTTTGAAAGGAAAAAGTCTGTTATACAACAACATTAAACGTAAAAACATATGGCTGACAGCAACCAACTGCAACCAAGGGATAATAGGTTAATGGTTTTGGATAATGTAGTGGGGTTTAACAAGTTTGTGAGCTCTCAAACTTCCCCTCACCTTTGGCAATGGTGTAACAGCACAACAAAGGGAAACAAATGTACAAATTAGTTGGACTCATCAGATTGGTACAAGAACAAATAACATAAATACAAAAGACAAAAAGTACCAATCTAGGAGTTATTGTCTTTACTGGAAGCTAATTCAAAGCCCAATTTCAACTAGTAAATCCTCATTCAGACAGCAACAGAAAAACCTGCAAAAACCAATAAAGCTGTTTCAATTTTGGAGGAGTACAGTCTGAATGCTCAACTGAAAGTTTTAACAATTAATGGACAAACTGTTTCATATGATCACCTGCAGTTGTATCCTATCATATTTTGTAAATAAGTACATGAAAACAAACCATCACAGCTTCTTGGCCCTCTTGTCAAGTTTCAAGTAAAATTAATCAAATGAGATATAACGTTTTATATTTGTCATTGTATGTTTATTTGTTTCTGTTTTGGGTACAGATGATACAATCCATAGTGTCTCTGTTGTCACCATATGTAAAACATATGTAAACCATATATACTATATCTATAATGCACAAGTAAATACACCTGTTTCAGTTCAGATTTATTGTGATGTTTTTGTTTTAGATGACTTTAATCATACTTAAAAGTAAAAAGTAGTGACATAGAGTTCATGCCCTGATCTTGTTTAGAATTTGTCATGTTAATATGTCTCCACCCTCAGTCATGAACATTGCTGATTCATCGTTCACCTGTACTTCATTCATATTTACACTCAATTTTGGTTGCAGTTTTTAATGTTGAATTTGAACAAGTTTACTTCCTTCTTACATGTCTAATGTTGTATATGGAATAAATGTGTGCTCAGTTGTGGAGCAAGAAGTATAAATATACAGCCATTTTAAAAATGTTTGTTACCATAGCAGCAATGATGATTATCTTAATTTTACCTAATCTTACAAATTTGCATATTTCAACAGCCATGGAGGTTTAAAGCTACATTTGTATTTTTGAGGTGAACCATTTCTTGAATAAAAAAACCTATACATGCACCTATACTGTGCCATGCTCCTTTGTTCAGAAACTTGTCTGCCTCTTGTGGGTGTCCCAATGTATGTAGATGTAAGCAGTGTTAAGTTTAAAAGAAGCCAAAAATGTCTAATGAAATGGTAAATTGAAAAATGGCTGTTGTTAGGTTGTTAGTCCCTTGAAGAGTCAAAGATGTTTTATATTTTATATGTTCTTTGATATTGCTGAAATGTAGAGCATTTGAATTGAAAGCAAAAAGATTGAACAGGATACAGAAGTGATACATTCTATGTGCATTGCAGTACTATCCATTTTTACTGGAAAAACAACCTTGTTTAAATTTATCTTATAAGTACCAGATTTTGAAAATCATTTGAACACAAAGTTTGGTTGAATATTTGATACTGTCCTGTATAGAATTGCCATTGTATACAGCAAAATAGGAGACAATCAAAAACTAGAAGGCAAAGAAAAACAGGCAATGCCATGATTGAAAAGATGAACAACAGTCTATGAAAACAGAAAACTATAGACTAAGCTACACGAACCCAACAAAAACAGAGGGTGATCTCAAATCCTACAGAAAGGTCAGGTCCTGTTCCACAAGTGGCACTCGTCATGATACTCAGACAAGGAAGAATCAATGATAAGTCTTATTCAGTAATGTCACAATCAAGGAAAAGAGGATTGATTGTTGACAATTGGAACATATTCATGGTTTGAGCTCTTAAATTAATTGAATATATTATGAATGTACTGATACTAAAAGTCGAATTTGTATGCCTCTTTTACTCTCAGGTCCAGTCAAATTGGGGATGTTAAATTGCATGCCTGGTATTAGAAGAGCACCACACACTGCATGTATTTAATGCCTGGGTGTTGGAAAAGTGCATGCTACTTTCTGTATGTAAAAGAAACTTTGCAAAAAATTATGATGGTCTGTAGGTGGCATATTTTAAGACATTTTTGTTGCCTTTACCAGAGGCAACATATCTTCTTGCAAGTGGTTGTTCAAATTTCCTCCCTTCATCCTGGTGACCCCTCTTTGCAGAACATACCTAAATGCATTAATGTTTTCTAGTATTGTGTTTCTGTCCTGCATATCAGTATTCATTGATACTTTAGAAAAGGACAATCAATCAATCCTTTAAATGTGTAATATATACCTTATAGTTCCTTTTACAATTATTTACAAAATTCTCTTGATTGACAACTAGTAAATTTATATGAGCTGTAGATATTTATCAAACTTTGCTGACCTTTTTGTCAAATAGAACCTGTAGAAACCACAAGACCCTAAGGATATGACATATAGTATTTCTTGTAACTCACAGTTCAAAGCAAATTGTATGTAACAGCAGTAATATGAGGTTGTAATTTAGACCACAACATTTAGTACATGATTATTGTTTAGGGTCATAGGTCATGATCCTATTGGTACTGTCCTTGTTTCTATTACATTAGTGTTTTGTAAGAGGATATGATCTGTTTTTGACATTGTGACCTCTTCTATACCTGAATAATTACTCAAAGGCATCCACCTTGAAGTTTTATAATCAACTCAACAATATCCTGCTGGTGTTTTATAATATTTTTTTTGTGAATACTTGAAAAGCAGTCTTACAACTTAAAATTTTAACAGATATATTAAATAATAAATTTTTATCTGCACACATCTGTTAAATTAACAGAAATCAGTGCTACTTTTTGAATGGATTTAAAAAATGGTGAAATGCAGTAACATCCTTTTAAACATAAAAGTATTTATTATTGACTGTTATTACCTGTGAGATGCACACCTGTATCCGATGTTCAAGGACACTTTTTTTTTTAATTTTGCTAGAAAGAGGAATGAATTTGAATGCATGAAACTCTTCCTGTACATGTGTATTTTTATCAGCATATATTGATTTCTATAAAACTGCCAAATACAGATGTCTGAATTTATAAGGAAGTGACATTTATTGAATACCTTGTAATTACATTCTACACCAGAATACATGAAACATCTTAAGATGGAAGGTTATAGCAAAGATAGAATTCAATTATTTTCCTTCTTCATTTCCATTATGATCTTATTATCAGACATCTAAATATAGTTCTTTCGGAAAATACATGTATTATTCTTTGTATAATACAAGCATGTTACATGCATCAGTACTTATTTTGTAAAAAAAAATCACCTGGAATTAAACTTATATAATGAAAAGAAGCCTTTGAATTTTATACAGTGTGCTTAAAATGTAAGAAAAACTTAAACATGTAATAAAACCTTTGAATATAACCTTTTAAGAAGATACCTGCATGAGGTTGCATTTCAATTATATAATTATGAGTCAGACTGTTTAATACAGTGACTGAAAACTCCTTTAATTGACGTGTGTTACATAGTTAATCAATGAATGGAAGGCAAAGGAAAGTTAAAAGGGATGATTTGTGAGGGTGAGCTGTTTGAAGCGTGAAGTGATTAAAAATCTGTATTGGTCATAATAAAACAAGGCTGTTAAGCACACAATTATAACATCTTGCAGAATTAGTGTTATAGAAGGGGGAACATACATAGACTGGTCAACTATATGCACTAAAGCAATAATGACTATAGTTACCCGTAAGGGAAATACAAAAAGCTTCTAAATAATTATAATGGAGAAATCTTAAAGATTGTAGTTTATTTAATAAGCATATTGCATGTACTTGTTTCTCTCATGTCAAAACTAATTTGAGATGGCAAATTATGTTCTTGTACTCATGATGAAGAAGAAAAATGTACACACAAGGGTAGTGATATTTTTGTATGTTTGTGCAATATTTCATTTTCTGCTCCATATATATAGTATGGAAAAGTCATTTTAAAGATTTTTGTATGCTGCATTTTATTTGAATAACTTTAATAGTAAAATTTCTTTTTTTTCAGAGGAAAATTTGCTGTAGTGAGAAAACTAGTGCACATAGAAACAAAACAAACAGTTGCTGCAAAGTACATTAAGAAACGTCGACGTGGTAAAACATGTCGAGAGGAAATACTACGGGAAGTTGTGATGTTAGAAAATGCCATATCACATCCAAGACTGGTACAGTTATTGGAGGTGTTTGAAACACCGACAGAACTTATTTTAATTACAGAATAGTAAGTGTGGGAAGGAAGTTGTGATTAATTACATAAAACAGGATGGGAGTTCAACATGTTATTATTGAAAAGATATTTTGTATGTACCATATTACTACTTCGATTTACAATTGAACTTGAAACAAGATTACAAAGGCCAAAAATAAGGAAATTATTATCTAGGGGTGGATCAAGGTTGAAATAATTTATCTTTTGATAAAGTACATATATGCTACAATTTTATCAAGGAAATCACATGTGACAGTATGAGACAACATAAAAGAATTCACAGCTGTTGTAACTTTTCTGCATTAAATTTCTTTACTGAGTCATCTTAATCAGTTATACAATGTATTATTAGATATTACCATGTTTAGCAGTAAACAGGTTTTTTCAGGGATAGGGAAATGAAATTGAATAGTAGAACAACTTTTATTGTCATGTCTTTATTTAATATGAATTTTGATGATTTATGATGGATATACAGGAAAATCTTCAGTACAACCAAATTTGTACATTGACACAAAAAATTGAAAGCTGAATTTGTAAAGAAATTGGGATAAAAATCATTGACCTCTTGATTATCTTCCGTGGTAATTAAAAAAAAAATGCAATATCATATGAAAACATTTACAACAAAACATTTTAACTAATTGAAAACAACTGAAATAGAAGTAATATAAAAATTAAAAAGAAGTTGATTTAACTTACATTTGAAACATAAGGATTACAGAGTTAATCTTGATATATGACACTTGTCAAAATTGTCTGAAACGTTTACCATGTTTTAGATGAGATTTGTTATGAAATGAAAATATTGAATAGGAAAAAAACCAAGGACATGTTAAAATTAATTCTGGAATAGTATTTTTTTTTATCAGTAGAGGGAGGGGGCAATCTGCTTCATTAGACAAACTTTCTAATTATCTAATAGTTATTTTTTGCTATAACTGGAAGTTTTCACATAAAAAGTTCAGAATATATCTTGTAATTTTCTTTTAATTTGGTGATCAGTTGGAACTTGGACTAACTAAATGATCCCTGACCTCTACAAAATGTATGCAACACAAGAAACTAGGAAGAATGTTTTTAGTACTTTTATCATAATTTCTTAAACCAATAATTTACTTCAGCTGTAATTAAAATAGGCATTAAGTAGGCAGTTATTGTTGTATACCTCATTATATTTACATTTAATTTGATGCATGACTTAGTCTTATTTCATGCTTCATTAAGTTTGATGCTTATTTCAGCTGCTCTGGCGGAGAATTGTTTCATGAATGTGTTACAGAAGAATCCTTTGAAGAAAGAGATGTTGTCAAGATTATGAAACAGATTTTAGAAGGACTTGACTATCTTCATCAAAGAAACATAGTACATTTAGATATAAAGGTATTGATGTTGGCTGAAAGAGATATTAATTTATTAGGGTAATAAGTATAAACTTGGTGTTGCAGTCATAAGATATTTAATGTTACCAACCATACAGTGAGAAGGCTGAATTGGATGAAGTTTGTTGAGTGATTTTGTGTGTCTTTGTTAACTGGATTTTCGAAGGAAATATAGGTTATTAAAATGTGGATGTAAGGCGGGCAGCTGAGCGGGCTGACGGGCGGCTGCCAAACAGTGTCAGCACAATAACATGAAAACGCTTTAACAAATTTTTTTCAAATTTAAATATGTTGTTTCCTGGGACTTAATGAAGGTCTAGTTCAATTTTCAAGATTTTAGTATTTCTCCTTTTTGAGTTATCGCCCTTTTTAAATATCCAAAAGTGGAATTTTTAAATATTTTACTCTTGTTATCATGTTATGATTTGTCTTATCTCACGATAAAATTGGAGTGACATATTTATTTGAAAATTATCTATTTCCTAAGTGGTAATGATTATAAGCTATATCATTAGACATTTTGAAGATTATTACATTATTAATTATTATATATGTAATGTTAGAGTACTATGTTAAACCATAGTTCTGTTCAATTAGATCTGGGAAATATTTTAGCATATGATAATGATTTATTTTCATTATTAATTAGATCTTGGAAATCTTTTAGCATATGATAATCATTGGAGTGACAGATTTATTTGAAAATTATCTGTTTTCTGATAATAAGATCTGTAGGACTGTATATATAAAGTTTGAAACTTACTAGTAGGACTGTATAAATGAAGTTTGAAATTTACTGTTCATTATTAAAAAAATTGTAGATAATTAAGTGTCCCTAAATCATATATATTCTTACCTCTACCCCCTTCAATTTGAGAATGTGCCTTTATCTTGTAAACGGTCAAGATCCCCACCCTTAAACCATAAAAATTCTTGTATGGGGCAATAAAACAAATCAAATGACATATTGGGATAGTCCTGGGGTTCACACCTACCCAAGGCTCCCAAAACGGTCATATATTCCGGACATTTGTATAATGTCCGTTAAAAGTCCGGCTGGGCAATGCACGAAACGGTCATCTACTTTTAAGTTTTCAAGGCTTTCTTAAGAAACGGTCATGTTAACATAATTTGCGATCTTTTTAACCCAACCTTTTGCCTTTAACAGCCACACATTTCCGGTCATAAAAGTGACATGATCATTAAATACTATCAAAACAACCCCTACTTTAATACCTTCTCAATCTAATCAAGGCTAATTAGTTGTTGAACAGCTGAAATTGACCTGTTCAGGTGACAGGTTAACTATTTTGAACCTGACATTGATTGGTCTATTCAAAGTTATTTTCTTACATTTCACCGGTTTGCATCTAATTAATTTAGTCAAAAAGATTTAAATTATCAGAAATACATTTACAAATATGATTTGATGAAAAAATTAAAAAGGTGAAAATGAAAAATCGTCATAACCACGTTGTTTCACAGTCGCCTGAAGATTTCATAATTATAGCCCAAAAATGGGGGAAATCAAATATTTTTAGTAGTATTATATAGAATAATAGAGATATTTTATTTCCCCCATTTTTTCGCTATAATTATGAAATCTTCAGGCGACTGTGGTTGTTTGAACCAGAGACACGACTCTGTTTGAACTAGTACACGTGTGCGCATGTGCGCAGGTGTGAAATTTAATTATGCATTCTTATTTCTTCAAAAAATGCTTAAATTGTCATTGATACCTTTATCTCACGTTTATTTCGAATATTTTCTTGAAGAAATAACGTAGAATGAGCTACTTACACTCATTCATGCTTTGCAAACGTACACGGAATTTACGTATCCGTCTCTGGTCCATGTTTTACCATTGTCAAGATAACATCCGGTATTAGATTTAAAAACGAAAGTAAAGTTTTTGACAACGTTATTTTGCAGAAATAAAGAGTCTAAGGCAGATATAAGTACGCTGATGTTGCACACTTCGAATGATGCACTGAAAGTTTACGTCAGAACTTCGAATTTGAATCAAAGAAAGTTTAATATTGTTTTTTTTTAATGTCAATCATTGGGATGGCCAACTCGGCAACTGAATCCCATAATTGCCTTTTGTTTATTTAGTCTTAAGTATTAAAATCGGGATAATATATAAAATGTCCGGCTGGCTAAAAATAATTTTGGAAGCCCTGCACCTACCCTCCTTTTTTTTGAAAACTTGTAAATGTGCAAGCTCCCCACCCTGAAACCATATATATTCTTGTATGTTACAATAAAACAAATCAAATGAAATAAAAGGTGAGTCCCCTGGGGTCACCCCCACCCCGTTCTGTTTGAGAACTTGTAAACGGTAGAGATCCCCACCCCTAAACCATATATATTCTTGTATGGGACAATAAAACAAATCAAATGAAATATAGGGGAAGTCCTTTGGGGTAACCCCCACCCCCTTCTGTTTGAGAAATTGGAAACGGTTGAGATCCCCACCCCTAAACCATATATATTCTTGTATGGGACAATAAAACAAATCAAATGAAATTTAGGGGAAGTCCACAAGGGTAAACCCCACCCCCTTCTTTTTGAAAACTTGTAAATGGTTGAGATCCCCACCCCTTAACCATATATAATCTTTAATGGGACAATAAAACAAATCAAATGAAAATTAGGGGAAGTCCCCTGGGGTAACCCCCGACCCTTTTTTTGGAAAACTTGTAAACAGTCAAGATCCCCACCCTGAAACCATTTTTCTTCTTGTATATAACAATAAAACAAATCAAATGAAATAAAAGTCGAGTCCCCTGGGGTCTTTTTTGTGATTGAGTTATTTTCCTTTGAACAGAAATTGTTAATTATATACATAAATTTTGATTACACTAAGCCTTTATAGATAATTTTCATATGTTTATATGTCCTGTAATCAGTTTACTAAACATATGGTTAATGTCTTATCTTGAGTGACAGATTTATTTGAAAATTTTCTGTTTTCTAAGTGTTGATGACTAAAAGCTATCTAGTAGTAAATATAGTAAGAAATTTACTGTTCATTATTAGACATTTTGAAGATAGTTACAGATAAGTTTTATAGATTTTTAAAAGACATTGTATTAATGATAAATAAAATTTTTGATTTTTTTTTCCTTACTTTGGTAAATTGTAAATTGTTTGTTATTCTGTAAAAACTAATTTTCTGAATGCTATATATATTTTTTTGATTAGGTGAACTCCTTTCAAAACTTAGCTTATATTGTCTATTAATAAACATATATTTAGATTTCTAATTTTGGGCCCAGTTTTCAAGTTGGTCCAAATCAGGGTCCAAAATTAAACTGTGTTTGATTTCAACATAAATTGAATATATATAGGGTTCTTTGAAATGCTGAATCTAAACCTGTATTTATTTTCATTATTAGTTAGATAATACCACATCGAGGTACTAAGGGTCCTAAATTAAACTTTTATTTAATCAACAATTGAATTCTTGGGTTCTTTGATATGCTGATTTTAACAATGTTTGATTGTTAAATCATATCTAATTTAAGAGAAATTAGTCATCACTGGTTGTTGTTAATATATTATTGATTATAATTTGAAAAATTACATCATTTCTAATTTTATAGAACTTAGTCATCACTTTATTCATTATAATCATATCTATTTATCAAGTTTGAGTTATTTCCCTTTGCACAGAAAATATATGGATAAAATTAAATTGTGTTTCATTTCAACTTAAATTAAATATGTAGGACTCAAATCTATGGCAGATTCCTAATCTATGGCAAATATGACGTCATGACATCCCAAATCTATGGCAGATTTTTTACAATCCTAATCTATGGCAAGTTTTGTAGTTTCCTAATCTATGGTGGATTTTTGTTGTTTCCAAATCTATGGCAAATTTTGTTCAAATGAAAAACAATGCAGTACATATACGACAATGACTTGTCTTAAACAAGTGGACATGTACCACAACAGGAGCATGTCTATAAACATTTGTGAAATAAACATTCCATAATGGTCAACCAAATCGTGATTGCAGACAAAACATTTTGTAAATGATGAATTCATATAACTTAATACAGACTTCAAGATTGAAATGATGTGCCCCGTAAAAATAAATATTTTTTAATCTGTGCATAGTACCTGTTTAACCCATTCATTAAACCAACTAGTAAGTCCCTTAACAAACAAGAAGGCAGGTTTTTATAAAAAAAAATATATATAAATAAAAATGAACAGTTTGAATTTTCACATAATGTTATTTCACCGTTAATACTTTTTTTTTTATTTGATGACAATATAATTTAATTTTGGATGTAACACGTCTTCCGATTGGCTGACGTTGTTTTGTTTATCAGCACATAGACATAATTTTGTCATGTGACCTTGACGTCATCAACGTTTTTTCATGATTTACTCCGGTTTAAAATGGAATTAAGAATTAAATTATAAGAAATGACTGTAATATTCTTTCTGTCTATTCGAAATAACATAAAAATGTGGTGCACACTTTAAAATAACCCGCATAGCAGGTTATTCAGTGTGCACCACATTTTTGATGTTATTTCTTCATGGACAGAAAAAATATTACATTCATTCCTTAATTAAATCAAATTGGTATCCGGTTATTTAATCTTTCAATTAATAAACTTTGCCAGCCGTAAAATATTTATTATAAAAATCCTTTTCTAAAATATCCGGTACTGAAAACAGCGGTGTCCTTATTCATTAAGGGCTTCGTCCGGTACAGCACATTTTGTCCCTCTTTCGGATGATAGGTCACATTTTCCTTTAAACCATCCGCAAATTGTTTAAAAATGTTCAAAACTATGGGTTCCGCCATCGTAAGTGGCGGCGACGATGTAATATGGCGTTATTCAATTGTGACGTTAGGAAAAGATCTGCCATAGATTTGATTTGTTTGACGTTTGTAAAGTCACATTTGCCATAGATTAGGAATCTGCCATAGATTTGGAACCCGCCATAGATTTGAGTCCTACAAATATATATAGGGTTCTTTCTAATGCTGAATCTAAACCTGTATTTAAATATTAGTTTTTTGGGCCCAGTTTTCAAGTTGGTCCAAATCAGGGTTCAAAATTAAACTTTGTTTGATTCACAAAAATTGAATTTATGTGGTTCCTTGAAATGCTGAATCTTACCATGTATTGAGAGATTTTGGATTGTGAGCTCCTTTATCAAATTGGTCCACATTGTGGTCCAAAGGGTCCTAAATTAATCTTTTGTTTGATTTCATTAAAAAATTAATTTTTGGAGTTCTTTGATATGCTGATTCTGACAATGTACTTTGATTTTGGATATTGGACCATAACAGGTAAATGTCCATTTTCAAATATTTCAGTTCTTTGACCACATTCATTTTGTGTCACAAACCTATGCTGTGTCAAATATTCAACCACAATCCAAATTCAGAGCAGTTTTAAGCTTAAATGAAGTGTCCATACTTGCTCAACTGTTCAGGGTTTGACCTCTGCAGGAAAATCCGGTTTGCTGTCACTCTGACAGCCTCTTGTTTTTTATATGTCCTCTTAAAGAAGACATTGTGTCTAAATTCATGATACAAAATGGTTACATGCACCTGAGGAAACCAGCTTAACAATAGCATACCGGTATTTGTCGCTGTTTTTCATCTCAAAGTCACAGCGAGACCTTCAAAGAGGTGCAAAAGCTCACACTTCACTGCAAATTCTAGACTGCCCTTACACTGGTTTGAACTTTATTCTTTGGAAGATGTCAAGCACACTACATCTTAGCCCTAGATTGCTCAAACATCTGACAGCCTTTTTTAGGACTGGTTGGGGCCATGGGACGTTGGAGCTCAGTCCATATAGAAACATGAAAAGTTTGGGTTGGCAAGTTTCTGTCTTAAAATTGTAATAAATAAATCATACATAATTCAGTTCCTTCAATCACTTTACTTCACGAACATGTAACTTTCATTCACATATTAATCGCTTGTACCACAATCAAAAGCTTTATTTCCATCAACCCCCAATTTTTAGCAACATACTTTCATTTTGAACAAGATATTGCAATCTTTATTACCTCATAGTACTTGTAATCTTGGAAGCTACTTTATACATTGTACATGTAGGTTGACATGGGCTGTATTTGCATTGAATAGATTGGATGAAGAGGCAAATGTTGTTCATATATGCAGGTCACTAGGATCATATGCATACAGAGGCAAATGTTGTTCATATATGCAGGTCACTAGGATCATATGCATGAATAAACTCCTAAATTTCTATGTGCACGGAATGAAATAACACAGCCACATGACAACTTGATCAAAGTGAACGAACGAAGCAAAAAATGGGGGGGTTCAAGGAATATGGCTTTCTTTTGTGCTGCAGGGGGTTAGTAGGAGAATAAAACTTACATATTCTTGAAATGAAATGAATGAGGAATTAAATAAAATTGAGAATGGAAATGGGGAATGTGTCAAAGAGACAACAACCCGACCATAGAGCATACAACAGCCGAAGGCCACCAATGGGTCTTCAATGCAGCGAGAAACTCCTGCATCCGGAGGCGTCCTTCAGCTGGCCCCTAAACAAATATGTATACTAGTTCAGTGATAATGGACGTCAATTTTTGACTCATCTACTTAAAAATGGATCTATTACAATTTTGAGATAGAACTTTGCCTTCCATGTTTTCAATATGGACTGCCCTCTGATGTCACGTGGCCCCAGTCAGTCCTAAAAAAAGGCCTTCAGACATCAGAACAATCTTGTACCAGCTACTTTTAATCAAATATCTGAATAATGTCTACAAGTTACAGACTATTATGGGCAAAGAAATCGAACAGATATTGTTATAATTGCATAATTGTCATTGTTAAAAAAAAACAGAAACAGTACAAACATTGACAACTATTGGGCACATCAAGTTATTTGTTGATAACTGTGCCGGAAAAAATGAACGAATACAAAATTTTTGTGGCTGATTAATGGTATGGGCTGTTGGTTTCATCATGGTTGCTTTGTGATCACTTGTTTCATTTAATGTGTCATCCTAAAATTGTAATATGAGGATGCTAGCTACTTAATGAAGTTTCAGTTTGCAAATTGGGATTTTGGTTTAGTCTGTTTCAAAATCAGATACCCAAAGGGACCAAAAATAGTGTTTTTGCCTATTGCAATATGGTATTTTATCTTTAAACTGTCATACTGTGAAATTTTTAGTTTCTTGACCAATAGTTGTGGTATCATAGCGAGTACATTTTGCCCCAATTTTCAATTTTTATGCCATCTTTTATTTCCTTGTTTCAAGTTAGTGGTCATCCTGTTGGTAGCTGCACTTTGCAGGTTTTTTATACCCCAGTTACAATAGAAAGGGGGCATTATGTTTTCAGGTCTGTCCTTTAGTCCTTCTGTCCAATATCAGTTTAAATTAAAATTTTGGTTTAGGTAGTTTACCATGAAGCTGTGGTCACATCAACTTGAAACTAAGTACACATGTTCAATTTGATGTGAACTTAATATATGTCAAGTTTTGACCCAGATTTTGCTGTTCACTGACCATGGAAATTAAATAATGGGTATCAGAATTAACATTTTGTTAAGGTAGTTTATAATGAATTTGTGGTTTTGCTCTAGATTTTACAGTTCACTGAATGTGGAAATTTGATAGGACTTATCAGGTTAAAGTTTATGGTTAATGTAATCCAAATATATGAAAACCATGAAGTTGTGGTCACAGTAAGCTGAAACTTAGTACACATGTTTATTTGGATAAAATTTAAAAAAATTTATGTCAAATGAGAGTTTTGACTCAACATGGACATATGATAGGTTGAGCTGGGCATGGTTTCAGATGTACATATATTCTTGTTGTGATTAGGTCAATTTCTCAAATACTATTTATAATAAGTCAACAGTAGTCTGTGTGTAGAATGATTATAAGGTATAGATGTCCATCTTCATTTAACCCTGACATCATTTTCATGTATCATCGTAAATGTTAAATTTAGTAAGATTTTAAAGACTTTTGACTTAAATTCAATCCTTATTGGCATAGCAGGCTAGACAAAATAGCATTTCCTTTGTTTCTACATTGATTGTTTTTTAGTTTTTTATGCCCCACCTAGGGGCATTATGTTTTTCATCCTGTGCGTCCGTTCATCCATCCGTCTGTCCGTTTGTCTGTCCAATCGTCCGTCTTTCCCGCTTCAGGTTAAAGTTTTTGGTCAAGGTAGTTTTTGATGAAGTTGAAGTCCAAATAACTTGAAACTTAGTACACATGTTCCCTATGATATAATCTTTCTAATTTCAATCCCAAATTAGAGTTTTGATCCCAATTTCACGGTCCACTGAACATAGAAAATGATAGTGCGAGTGGGGCATCCGTGTACTATGGACACATTCTTGTTTCAAACTAAGTTTGACTTATTATTTCAAACTGTCAGAATTTAGAATGAGGTATACTAGTGTTAAAGGTAGAGAAGCCATATTTGTTTATACTTTTGCATGAGGAGTGGAGTCATATAAAAATGTATGCCTATATGTTTGCTTTGGATTTTTTTCAGCCACAGAATATATTACTGACGCATCCCTTTCCTAAGGGTGATATAAAATTATGTGACTTGGGATTTGCTTGTCTCGTGAACACAGGAGAAGATATCAGGGATATTATAGGAACAGTTGACTATGTTGGTAAGAATGATCAAATAATAGATAAAGAATATTAAACCATCTGTCGTTCATCTAAGTTTGGCCTAACTTTCAGCCTGAATACTACCAATTACTATATATATATATATATATATATATATAGCTACAAGTCTGGGATTTTAACACTACAACACCTATGAAATTGTTTAACCTTTAATCACAACGTTAAAAATCTGCAATTTGAAGAAAGGTGTTGTGCATGAAAATTGGTATCATACACCTCTTCATGTGCATAGCAACTGTAGTTATGCCCCTGCTGTAGCAGAGGGGGGCATTAAGTTTTACCCTTGTCCGTCTGTCCGTACGTCTGTCCGTTCGTACGTCCCAAAGTTGATTTCCATTCTCTAACGAGTTTGCCTCAACCAAATGACTGGAAACTTATACACAATGCTTATTACCACAAAACACAGATCAAGTTTGAATTTTGGTGGCCTCACTATAGCCGTTCTTGAGTTATGCCCCTTTACAAATTGAAAAATTACTGAATTTTTCTTTTCCATTCTCTAACTTTAGTTTGTCTCTACCAAATATAATAAAACCTATACACAATGCTTATTGCCACATAATACAGATCATGTTCGAAATAAGTTGGCGTCACTTTTACCGTTCTTGAGTTATGCCCCTTTCTAAACATAAAAATTGCTGAATTTTTCGTTTCTGTTCTCTTTCTTTAGTTTGCCTTTACCAAATGGTATGAAACTTATACACAATGCTTATTACCACAAAATACAGATCAAGTTTGAATTTTGATGTTGTCACTTTTACCATTCTAGAGTTATGCCTATTTACAAATCGAAAAATTGCTGAATTTTTTGTTTCTGTTCTCTAACTTAAGTTAGCCGCAACCAAATATTATGAGACTTATACAGAATACTTATTACCTCAAAACTCGAGTACAAATTTTGGTAGCGTCACTTTTACTGTTTTTCAGTTATGTCCCTTTATGATTTTATATGATATGCAAGCGGGGGTATCATCTGTGTCCCATGGACACATTCCCCATTTATTATAGACCGCAAAAAATGTTTTGGGATTGTATAATGGTATGATGTCGTCGTCGTCTGCGTCTTCGTCCGAAGACGCATTTGTTTCCGGACAATAACTTTAAGTGAATGGATCTCTATGAAATTTTTTAAGAAGGTTCAATACCACAAAAGGAAGGTTGGGATTGATTTTGGGGATGATGGTCCCAACCATCTAGGAATTAGGGGCCCAAAACAAGCATTTTTCTAGTTTCAGGATAATAACTTGTGAATAAGTATTTCGATTGCTCTGAAATTGTACGACAATGTTTAATACCACAAGTAGAAGGTTGGGATTTATTTTAGGGGTTATGGGGGCAACAGTTTAGGAATTAAGGGCCAAAAAGGGGCCAAAAACAAGCATTTTTCTAGTTTCAAGACAATAACTTGTGTGTAAGTGTATTGATCTCTCTGACATTGTACCACAAGGTTCCATATCACAAAGGGAAGGCTAGGATTGAGTTTGGGGTTAATTGCCCAAATATGTAGGAATTAGGGGCCAAAAAAGGGCCAAAAACAAGCATTTTTCTAGTTTCCAGACAATAACTTGTGTTTAAGTGTATGGATCTCTCTGAAATTGTACTACAAGGTTCCATACTACAAAGGAAAGGCTGGGATCGAGTTTTGGGGTTATTGCTCCAAGGGTGGTTTTATAAAAGTTGGGGGGGGGGTTTCCAATATTTTTAGAGGATTCATATTTTTATACGACCGCAAAAAAATTTTCGTGGTCGTATATTGGTATGACGTTGGCGTCGTCATCTGGCGTCGTCGAAGACACATTGGTTTTCGCACTCTAACTTTAGTTTAAGTGAATGGATCTCTATGAAATTTTACCACAAGGTTCAATACCACAAAAGGAAGGTGGGGATTGATTTTGGGGGTTATGGTACCAACAGTTAAGGAATTAGGGGCCAAAAAGGGGCCAAAAATAAGCATTTTTGTAACTTCCAGACATAACTTGTGTGTTAGTGTATGGATCTCTCTGACATTGTACCACAAGGTTCCATATCACACAGGGAATGCTGGGATTGATTTTGGGGGTAATTGCCTCAAAATATTAGGAATTAGGGGCCAAAAAAGGGGCAAAAAACAAGCATTTTTCTAGTTTCATGACAATAACTTGTGTGTAAGTGTATGGATCTTTCTGAAATTGTACTACAAGGTTCCATATCACAAAGGGAAAGCTGGAATTGAGTTTGGGGGTAATTGCCGAAACGTTTAGGAATTGGGGGCCAAAAAGGGCCAAAAATAAGCATTTTTCTAGTTTCCAGACAATAACTTGTGTTCAAGTGTATGGATCTCTCTGAAATTGTACTGCAAGGTACCATACCACAAAGGGAAGGCTGGGATTGATGATGGGGGTAATTGCCTCAATATTTTAGTTATTAGGGGCCAAAAAGGGGCAAAAAACAAGCATTTTTCTAGTTTCAGGACAATAACTTGTGTTCAAGTGTATGGATCTCTCTGAAATTGTACTGCAAGGTACCATACCACAAAGGGAAGGCTGGGATTGATGATGGGGGTAATTGCCTCAATATTTTAGTTATTAGGGGCCAAAAAGGGGCAAAAAACAAGCATTTTTCTAGTTTCAGGACAATAACTTGTGTTCAAGTGTATGGATCTCTCTGAAATTGTACTGCAAGGTACCATACCACAAAGGGAAGGCTGGGATTGATGATGGGGGTAATTGCCTCAATATTTTAGGAATTTGGGGCCAAAAAGGGGCCAAAAAACACATTTTTCTAGTTTCCAGACAATAACTTGTGTTCAAGTGTATGGATCTCTCTGAAATTGTACTGCAAGGTACCATACCACAAAGGGAAGGCTGGGATTGAGTTTGGGGGTGATGAATCATAAGGGGGTTCAAAAAATTTGGGGGGGGATTTTTTTTTTTTCCTTTTTTTTTCTTTTAAAATTTTCCATTTTAAGTTGGTTATTTCTGATTTATATTTAAAAGCAAATAATAATGATATGGTAGGAGATGCACACCAAACAGGATGTGTAAATTATTATATAATAAGTATTGTGCAATAGCAAGAAATTTTCAGTTGCACAGTATTGCACAATAGCAAGAAATCTTCAATTGCACAGTATTGCGCAATAGCAAGAAATCTTCAATTGCACAGTATTGCGCAATAGCAAGAAATATCCAATAGCACAATATTGCGCAATAGCAAGAAATTGTCAATTGTACAGTATTGCGCAATAGCAAGAAATATTTAATTGCACAGTATTGTGCAAAAGAAGATACTTCATAAAAAATTGCTTATTTCTTGACCAATTTCAATGGGGTTTTATTCTTGAATTCTTGGGGTTCTTTAATATGCAGAATCTAACTGTGTATTTAGTTTTTGGATTTTGGGCCCCGTTTTTAAATTGGTCCTCATTGAGGTCCAAAGGGTCCAAAATTAAACTTTGTTTGATTTCATCAAAAATTGAATTATTGAGGTTCTTTGATATACCGAATCTAACCGTGTATTTAGATTCTTCATTTTTGGTTCCATTTTCAAATTGGTCTACATTGAGGTCCAAAGGGTCCAAAATTAAACTTAGTTTGATTTTAACAAAAATTGAATTCTTAGGGTTCTTTGATATGCTGAATCTAAACATGTATTTAGATTTTTGATTATGGGCCCAGTTTTCAAGTTGGTCCAAATCGGGGTCCAAAATTAAACTTTGTTTGATTTCAACAAAAATTGAATATATGGGGTTCTTTGATATGCTGAAACTAACCATGTATTTATATTTTTGATTTTTGGGCCCCGTTATCAACTTTGTCCACATTGAGGTCAAAAGGGTCCAAAATTAAACTTTGTTTGATTTCATCAAAAATTGAATTCTTGGGGTTCTTTGATATGCTGAATCTAAGCATGTATTTAGATTTGGATATTGGACCATGATAGGTGAATGTCCAATTTAAAATTTTTAAGTTCTTAGACCACATTCATTCTGTGTCAGAAACCTATGCTGTGTCAAATATTTAATCACAATCCAAATGCAAAGCTGTATCAAGCTTGAATGTTGTGTCCATACTTGCCCTAACTGTTCAGGGTTCGACCTCTGCGATCGTATCAAGCTGCGCCCTGCGGAGCATTTTATTTTTTTTGAATTTTTGAAAAGTTTCAAGAAGAAATCTTCAATTGCACAGTATTGCGCAATAGATTTGTAAGATCTTTGACCACATTTATTTTGTGTCAGAAATCTATATTATGTCAAAAAATTGATCACAATTCAAATTCAGACAGTATCAAATTTGAATATTGTGTCGAAATTTGTACCAACTGTTCAGGGTTGGACCTCTGTGGTCGTATCAGGCTGCGCTCAGCGAAACATTTTATTTTTTTATGATATAGTTTTCTCCAAATAATAAAAAAAAAAATAGAAACCGCACTTTAAATAACTATGGCATATATTGAGACGCAATATTGAGAATAGCTGCTTTGTTTTTAAATTTACATGTCAATAAAACTAGAAGAAAATGTATTTAATTCTCTATATATATTTTAGCACCTGAAGTTTTAGATTACGAACCTCTTGGTCTTCATACAGATATGTGGTAAGTCAATAGAAGTACTGTATATTAAGAAGGGTAAATTCTTTGATTTGTGAAGTACTGTATATTAAGGAGGGTAAATTCTTTGATTGGTGATGTAATATTAGGTATTTCATCTATGGTGGTATTTTCCATCAACTAAAGGCTTTAATATCAAACACAAGTGGAGCTCCATGGCTGGAGATTGGTAAAGGGCAGATACAGGAGATGATATGGAAAATGAAATTCTATAATCTAGCTATCACACGTTTTAGTTAAAGTGCTCAGAATGTCATATAAGTACTTTCAATTTCGACCAAAATTATCCAGATTGCTCTAAATAGGAAGAGTTGCCCTTAAGGTAAATTATACATAATTGGGCAATATTTAAGTGCACAATAACATATTGATCATTTGCATGCATACAAAGTTGTGTACAAGTTATTTATATAATATCAAAAATATTTGAAAAAATCAATGATTTGTTGTATTTTTTATGTATTTTAACTTTTTAAATCTCAAAAACAGTACTGAAGCGGTCAGTAACCCCCAGTATACACTAATCCATTTATTTATTGTTTTTCAGGAGTTTAGGTGTTTTAGCCTATGTAATGTTAACAGCTCATTCACCGTTTGCTGACGACAACCAACAAAAGACGTTCCTTAATATATCTCAAGTTAATTTAGAATTCCCAGAAAGCCTGTTTTCTCATCTCAGCTCTGCATCTCAGGATTTTATATGTAAACTTTTAGTTAAGCATCCAAAGTAAGTGGTTTCTATAAAAATATTTTTTGGGTTAATTTTTTTATCATAGTTAATCTCTGGAACCTTATAAGAGTTTGAAAACATTTCCAATCTGAATGCATAAATGGTACAATTTTTGACCAATTTGTCTTTATTCAGACCTTGGAAAAAATAAATGATATTTTACATTTTTTTCTTCAATTTACCAGTAGCCTTCTCGGTTATGAGATTTACCATCTCCTTTACTAATGTGTTGTTACTGACCATCAATTACAATGCTGGTCACTTCATCCATTTATCATGACCAGATTATACTCGTTACAGTGAAGTGCTGCCAAAGAATGCCATTTTATAAAAAATTGGATGTAACAAATTTATTAAATATATAGTATCTTAAAAATATGACTTATACATGTATTTGATGTTACAAGCCAAAAATACTACAGCCTCCCTACACATCTCATTAACAGTCAATGAAAGTTATCAAAAATGTCCTTATTCAATAGTCGCTGAATTTAATATTCTTGTCTCAGATACCATATTTCAAAATAGTCTTTTTATAAGAGCATCATTAAATGATCAATGGACAAATCCTGCTCAAAGGATCAGATGATTTTGACAGGCAGTCTGTACATTAAATTTGTATGAGTATGTCTTTTCTAAGTTTTGGCATTTTTCAAGACATAAGATAAACTTATTTCTTCAATTTTTTTTCTAAATACATGTGATGTACCGGTACTATCCAGAAAATGCTAATTAGGCAAGCTCTTTAATCTTGGTCATATTTCTTGTTCTACAAAAATCTTTATTGAATATGAGATTATCAAAAGAAGAACTAGTGAAAAAAATTCATTTTTCTTAGACTTTTATGTAGGTTTCATTGATATATTTCCACTGATATATTGCAGTCATTTTTAAAGACATACTTTTTTAACTTATTGAAATACCGGTCACATGTTTATACTTAAAAAAAAGAGAAATACAAATATTCTGTTGTACACGTTCTGGCATTATTATTCAATTATTGACTTTTGATGAGGTTGATACAATGATATATCAACCCTAGAGATATGATTTTCATCGAGATGAACGCGCAGGGTGAATGTCATATCTCTGGGGTTGATAAACCATTTTATTAACTGATATCAAAAGTTAACAATTGTTTAATTATATGACCTTTTTTTCATCCATTTCCAATTTTCTAGTGTTTGTTCAAGATATTTAACTGCTCCTTGTTTTTAGTCCCCTACCGACGAAGTCGAAGGGGACTATAGGTTTGCACTCCGTCTGTCTGTCTGTCTGTCAGTCTGGCAAATAAGTTTTCCACACTTTTTTTCTTTGTGCTTGAAGATATTGATTTGATATTTGGTATATTGTTTTATCATGACAAGTTACAGATCAAGCTCGAAGTTTGTTCCAGTCTGACGATTTTGTGCAGAGTTATGGTCCTTGAACTTAGAAAATTCACTCAAATAATCAGTTTTCCTCACTTTTTTTTGTCATGCTTGAAGATATTGATTTGATATTTGGTGTATAGTTTTATCATGACAAGTTACAGATCAAGGTATAATTTTGTTCCTGTCTGATGATTTTGTGCAGAGTTATGGTCCTTGGACTTGGAAAATTCACTCAAATAATCAATTTTCCAAGTTTTTTTTTGTCATGCTTGAAGATATTGACTTGATATTTGTTATATAGTTTACACCATGACAAGTTATAGATCAAGTTTGCATTTTGTTCTAGTACAATGAATTTTCAACCGGTAGGGGACTATGTATTGCCAGGCAATACTCACAGAATGCTTGTTAAACTAAATATATTATCTGATTTGCAGTTAACTATTATAAGGTGAAATGTTCGATAAAGTTCACTATAAAAAATGATGAAAAAAGAAGGGAAAAAAACAATAATGTACATGACATCATAAACCTACGGCATTGCAATGCCTTGAAAAAACTATTTATGGGTACACTTCAGCTGTTCCAAATGTTCTATTAATCTCTCATGATTTTCTCGGTGAATATAATGTTTTATCAAAGAAGATTCCCTTTGTTTTAGCCAATGCGAAATGATAATTTTTATAGTCATATAAAAAAAAACCTGTTATACCAAACAGTCACCCTGAAAGGAATAAAAAATCAAATTTACTTCAATAAAAATTCACAAAGAAGAAAGAAAGAAGAAAGACCTCAAATACATGAACACATTAATGAGAAGACATATAAATCCAACTGGGTCAATTATATATATTATAGAAAGACTGTCTTGAAAAATTAAATGATTGAAAGGTCAACTGTTTTGGAATAAATTCCTCCTATGCTGCATATTTTTATGTAACTGTACTTATCTGACTGCATACATTTACTAATTTTAGAAATAGAATGAATACCAAACAGTGTTTAGAGCATCCTTGGATAAGTGGAATTGTCTCTCCTGAAACATTGCTCGGTAATAGTGAAACTTGTAAAAACAGTGAAGAAAACATGATTGAAAGTTGTGATGAACTAGAGGAAAAGTCGGATGTCATTGCAGAAAAAGAAATACCTGTTGAAATTGTCAAAAAATGTTCTGAATCCAGTAACAGTTTACCAAGTGAACATAAAGACTTAAATCTAGTGTTAGAAGAACCAGAAAACATTGATAGAGAGGATAGCATCCCAAGTAAAGTATTAAAGTGCAATTCTAATTCAAATATTCTTGATGAATGTGAGAAGACAAAAGGTACTGAAAACATGACATGTTCTGAGAATGAATGTATGAAGGACAGTTACAAGATGGATGATGTCAACAGTAATTTATCTACGCAAGCTGTAGTATAATGTCTTGATTGACAAATATAGACCCCAAAACTAACCCAAAGACTTACCACATATCTGTTTAAACATATCATATTTAATACAATATATTCCTAATTTTGAAATTATTATTAGTGTTTTTCTTCGACGTAATTTTTATTGAAAGAAAACTGCTTATTATCACACACACAAAAAGATTAAGATCAAAGTTTCTACTGGTTTATATGTCCATTTGAGACGTTGTCATTCAAGTATAAGAAATCAAAATCCAAATTTTTAGTTACAACTTTTTTACTTGTAAGTTGTGTAAAGTTGCATTTTGAACTATTGTTTGTTTTACATGTATTTTCACTAATTATGATATTGAAGATCTGAATGATTGACATGATGCTAGGTTCTCAAACTAAATTTGAAGAAATAGTTTTACTTTTTAGGTGTAACACATTTAAAAAAAAATACCATTTTTGACCTGTCTAGAAACAAAATTCTGTCTCATAGTTGGAAAAGTCAGGTACAAAAAATAAGGATTTCCATGTATTTTAAAGATTTCCTTTTTTTTCTTTTTCCAGACATTAATGAAGAAACTTGAAAACACAAGTATTGTTTTTGTGATTTAGTATCCATAACTTCAACAATATTACTTCTATTTCAGAGTAAAAAATAGTATATGTAACATTATGAAAATAACAGAACTGTTATTTTATTATTTTATTATTAGTATTGTTCTATGCACATGAATGCAAATAATAAATAGATACTCCTGTAATATCTCAATAGATGGTACTACCAGTCCTACAACATATTTATGCTTGCTTTCTAGATATTTTCATACTATTTGCAGTTGCTACCAGCTCCAGCTTTTTATATGATTTTAAAAACAATACGGGCAGTGCCATATGATATCTTTTTTTTCTGTAAGGCATATTTACAAAGAATTGTTGTAGTCTGATGTACAAAGGGTTGATATCTAATTTTCAAATACATCATTTGTATAAAATATAATACTGTAACTTGTATGCTTTTTTATGAAAGGGTTGTAGAAAAAACTTCATTCAAAGTGCTAGAAGGAAATTCAAACATATGATTAATAGATACATACATACATATGTCAAGAAAAAAATGTCTGCATGTATGTCTTCTTTTTCTTCCTTAAAACCTGGTAGGAACTGTCATGAGCCATCTGAATGTTTTACTGCTAGTGTTTACTTTAAAATAATAGTTGTTTTTTTTCACTTTTAATCAGTGGTAAAATTTTTGATTAAAGACCAAACATGAATTAGTGTTCTCAGAGAAAAACATATTCATGGATGATACACTGAATTGTTTTTTATGCCAGTACATATATTATTTCAAGCTCTCTAAATCTGTTGTATGAAAATGAAATAAGGGAAATTATTATTCCTAATGGGGAACCCTGCAGCAAATTTAATGAATTATTGGAGTGAAAAACACGAACATCATAAATTTTTGTGATTTACTAACTCAAGTTCAAAATAATCTGGAAAATATAAAACAAAGATGTCATAGATTTGTCATATATAATCATAAATTGTCATTTTATGCAATTTTTTTTAAACAATTATACATATAATGAATAGCACTGCTTAAAAGGCTATTTGAATCACATAAAGTCTTTAAATAAGGTTTTTTGAATGTGTAGCAACATTTTTTTGATGAGTTTACTGTTTTCAACCTCAATTGCACAAACTTTTATGACCAATACTAACTTTATATAAAATTAAATAAATATGTTATTGTTAATGTTTACTGACAGGTAATTGTTTCCGTATTATCAATATGATGATATTTGATACATTGATATTTGATGCATTGATATTTGATACATTGATATATAGTCTTTGAATTTCAAAATAGAAGGACAAAAAATCAGCTTTGTTATACATGTATCTGTTTCTTTAATTGATAAAAAGCATCTTTATAAAATTTGAATTTAAATATGATGCCTTATAATAAAGCCAAGTACAGAAATGTATATTCATTATATTTCTTTTGTTAGCATTTATTGTAAAGTTGAAAAAACGATGTAAGGAAGTGTCAACTTTGTGCATAGTATCAAGACTTGCTTGATAATATTTTCTTGGATTTTACCATCAAATGCTTGTGCTGTATACAACTTCTAAATACATGTATTTATATGTTAAAAACTATTGATTGCATTTCATACTGTAGGTTACTTTTTTTAATCCTCTCAAAAATGTTTCATTTCATTGATAATAGCAAATGGTTTTTCTTTCTCCAAAAAATATTTTACATCTTTTATGATATTTGATGTTTGACAGATAAATGCCCCAATCAAAATTTACAGTTGTATCTGTTAGGAAAGTTTTTTTTTGGTCCCCACTGCAATACAGATCGTGGAAAAGATATGCCGGTTGTCCATTCATCTGTCTGTCTGTTTGGTCTTATAATCACTATCACGCCTACAAGTCTTGAAAGATCTTTATGAAATTTATGTCAAAGGTTGATATAAACAATGTTCTAAAATCAGTACTGATCATGTAAATGTAAATAGTATCAGTGATTTTGCTAGCGCTCGTCATTTTTGTCATTTAAGAAACGGTTTTCAAAATGACGAAAGTATTCCAAATCAATTTCGTCACTTAAATTTGGAAAGAGTAAAAATATTTTCGCATGAAAATACTATAATTCTACCTGTCTTATTGTTTCTGACAAGTTTATGACCCTCAGCTAATTAACATTTACAACAGATGTTATAAGTTGTGATTACAGCTAATCCGCTTATCGCCATTGGATGGGTCACTAATCCGTTAATTATTTATTAACCTCATAATTGATAACCTCATAATTGATCATCATAATTATTTTCCCCAGTAAAATCAGTCAGTCATATTTGATATAACTTTTAATCAAAAACTTTCGACAATTTCGATTAAAAAGATAGAACTTTATTCATAACATTCAGAAATGATTTCACGAGTCAAACAGATGCTTCCTTTACGATGAACTGCGAATGCGCGAAGTATTCTTATGAATTTAAAGACACTCAAACGTAAAATACGAAATAATTAAGTATCAAACTAAATGAGAGAGACAAATATAGTTCTTATTTAGCAAATTTAATTTAAAAAATGATAATTTCCTGCCTTTTTTTAACACGAACCAATCAGTAGATGAATCCGGATTCATTCTGAATTTATTATCCACTTGTCACTTCCCGTTTTCATTTCATTTGGAAATCGAAAGTAAACGTGATCTATTCATGATAAATTTACAATTTAAAGTCATTAGAATTGTTCCAATAAGGATTTGTACAAATCATTGGTTCCAACTATATAGAATTAATTCTAAATATCGCTTTAAAACGTTTTTAAGGATAATGAGTATGAATAATGCAGTGAAATAGTCCTTACAAGTTCATTTATGCTGTGATTCCTGGTTTAAAAAAAATGGATCCTAACTTTTGCTGATTAGGAATGTACCCAGAAACTAACTGAAGTGAAATTGTGAACTAGATTTCTAGATCTTATATCCTAATCTTCGTATTAAAGTGCCACATCAGTCAAATCATGCAGTAACTGCCTAGTATGCTTAAGTCCTTCAAAGTCTGACAAAGATGTACTGATAGTAATATACATCCTAGGTCCCTTGCTGCTACCCAAAATAAGGTTAATTTTCATCCCACGCAAAAGTGACTAAAGCCCTCAAAATCCTAGCTTAAACCCTGATATTATTGAAAGTTACATCAGTGCTCTAATGCCTGCATTTCTTGACAAATTTTCTGAAATTAAAATCAAAGATTAAGATCAGCAATGCCTTGGATGTTTTGCGTTTTTTTTCTTTTCTTTTTCTGTTCTTTTATTCTCATAGTTATATTTCTATGTTGCAGACAAAAATCAGCGATGATTCCGTTTCCTTCTCAGGTATCCACCAATTCTGTTTAAACCTTGTCACTGGTTTTTTTTTCTTCTTTGGGGGGAGGGCAGCAAAGTAAAAAAAATAATTCTTCTATTGATGTAAGTTCATATTTAAACAATTTTTGGCTAAGGATTGAAGATTGTGTACATCACCTAAAATTTTGAAACTAGGTCTGAGAAGACTTAGTTTGTATGGCCTGATTTAACATAAAATGTCAGTGTTACAACCAATAAGTTAATGCTTGTCAGTAAACAGTAACAGTAGGATCAACTACACAATTTGTGGGAACATAGTGATTAGATTTATTTGGTGCTGAATATACATGAAGTTTTTACATGTATAGTTTTGGTACACATTTTTTAATACATCAGCATTATGCATACATTTAATCATTATCAGTATTTCATGACCAATATTTTTAGATGATTTTTTGACCAAAATGTTTTCTTTTCAATATATGTGTAATTTTTTTTTTTTTTATGTTGTGAAATGATTATGGAATTTATCATGTTAATATATTTTCTTACAACATAATTGCAGTTTTCAAATACCCACATCTTAATTCATGATTCGAACAATAAAGATAAGAATCAACATTGCTAATTATGGAGTTCTGCAATAACAAAAAAGTATATATTAACACCAGCAACAGTATAAAAATGTGTATTTGCTAGTTGCAAGTTAATTCTAAATAATAACACTATCATTTCTTTTTTTATTGTAGTTACTATTTGGACCATATTCCCCCAAAAGAACAATTCCAATTTTATATTAGTATATGTAATAGTATATATTATTACTTATAATGTCATTTTTATACGACCGCAAAAAAATTTTGTGGTCGTATATTGGTATGACGTTGGCGTCGTCGTCGTCGTTGTCGTCGTCCGGCGTCGTCGTCCGAATACACATTGGTTTTTCGCACTCTAACTTTAGTTTAAGTGAATGGATCTTTTTGAAATTTGACCATAAGGTTAAATACCACAAAAGGAAGGTTGGGATTGATTTTGGGGGTTATGGTACCAACAGTTAAGGAATTAGGGGCCAAAAAGGGGCAAAAAATAAGCATTTTCTAGTTTCCAGACAATAACTGTGCAACAGTGTATGGATCTCTCTGAAATTATACTACAAGTTTCCATACCACAAAGGGATGGTAAGGATTTGCTTTGGGGGGTTATGGCTCAAACCGTTTAGGAATTAGGGGCAAAAAAGGGGGAAAAACAAGGTTGTCCTGGTTAATGGACAAATACTTTAGTACAAAACATAATTTAAAGCAGTGTAAGGGAGATAAATCAAATACATCATTGAAATTATCTCCCTTACACTGCTTTTAAATTATGTATAAAGTAATGGTTAATGAACAATAAAGATAATTTAAAACAGTGTAAGGGAGGTAATCCAAATACAACGTTTTAGTTACTTCCCTTACACTGCTTTTAAATTATGTTTAAAGAAATGCATATTTATAAAGGAAGACCAGTAAAAATATCTGCAAATGTTGCATCTTTTTTTTTTACAAAAAAATCCATATGAAAGATTTGACACTATATTTTTAATTCTATTATAAAATAGATTAAGTTAGCACTATGGTAAATTTAAATGGGTAATTATGGTTGCCAACTCCATTGGAAATTTGAATTGAGATTATGACTATATCTTGAGGGAAAGAATTTTTTGGGGGGAAAAAGGTGGGGGGGGGGGGGGGGGATAAAAAGAAATTGTGGGGGGTCAATTTTTTCTCATTTCAGATTTCAGAAATTAAAAAGAATTATTCTTCAAATATTATTTTTTTTTCAAATTTCAAATATTGAAAAATTTCAAGAAGTAATCTTTAATTGCACAGTATGGCGCATTAGATTTGTAAAATCTTTGATCACATTTATTTATTTGTTATGCCGAATCTAACAGTGTATTTAGATTTTTAATTTTGGGTCCAGTTTTCAAATTGGTCTACATTAAGGTCCAAAGGGTCCAAAATTAAACTTTGTTTGATTTTAGCAAAAATTGAATATATGAGGTTCTTTGATATGCTGAATCTAAACATGTATTTAGATTTTTGATTTTTGGCCCAGTTTTCAAGTTAGTCCAAATTGGGGTCCAAAATTAAACTTTGTTTGATTTCAACAAAAATTGAATATATGGGGTTCTTTGATATGCTGAATCTAACCATGTATTTAGATTTTTTATTTGTGGACCCCGTTATCAAATTGGTTCATATTGAGGTCAAAAGGGTCCAAAATTAAACTTTGTTTGATTTCATCTAAAATTGAATTATTGGGGTTCTTTGATATTCCAAATCTAACCGTGTATTTAGATTTTTAATTTTGGGTCCTGTTTTTTAATTTGGTCTACATTAAGGTCCAAAGGGTCCAAAATTAAGCTTAGTTTGATTTTAACAAAAATTGAATTCTTGGGGTTCTTTGATATGCTGAATCTAAACATGTGTTTAGTTTTTTGATTATGGGCCCAGTTTTCAAGTTGGTCCAAGATAGGGTCCAGTATTTAAACTTTGTTTGATTTCAACAAAAATTGAATATATGGGGTTCTTTGATATGCTGAATCTAAACATGTATTTAGATTTTTGATTATGGGCCCAGTTTTCAAGTTTGTCCAAGTTGGGGTCCAAAATTAAACTTTTTTTGATTTCAACAAAAATTGAATATATGGGGTTCTTTGATATGCTGAATCTAACCATGAATTTAGATTTTTTATTTGTGGGCCCCGCTATCAAATTGGTTTATATTGAGGTCAAAAGGGTCCAAAATTAAACTTTGTTTGATTTCATCAAAAATTGAATTATTGGGGTTCTTTGATATTCCAAATCTAACCGTGTATTTAGATTTTTAATATTAAGTCCCGTTTTTTTAAATTGGTCTACATTAAGGTCCAAAGGGTCCAAAATTAAACTTAGTTTGATTTTAGCAAAAATTGAATTCTTGGGGTTCTTTGATATGCTGAATCTAAACATGTGTTTAGATTTTTGATTATGGGCCCAGTTTTCAAGTTTGTCCAAGTTGGGGTCCAAAATTAAACTTTGTTTGATTTTAACAAAAATTGAATAATGGGGTTCTTTGATATGCTGAATCTAACCATGTATTTTGATTTTGGACATTGGACCATAATAGGTAAATTAAAAAAATTCAAGTTCTTAGACCACATTCTTTCTGTGTCAGAAACCTATGCTGTGTCAAATATTTAATAACAATCCAAATTCAGAGCTGTATCAAGCTTGAATGTTGTGTCCATACTTGCCCCAACTGTTCAGGGTTCGACCTTTGCGGTCGTATCAAGCTGCGCCCCAGCGAAGCATTTTATTAATTTTGTTTTCAATTTCGAGAATAAAATAGTATATTCAGATCATTAGATTTTGTTTATATGGGCTCATTCCAGACTCTGATATAACAAGATATTAGTTACAGGTAACAAAATGTTTGATTATCATTATATTAACATTCAAGAAATATTTACATCGGATTTTACTTCATTATCTCCCCCAAAAATATTTACATTGGATTCTTTTTTATTATCTCCCCCAAAAATATTAACATTGGATTCTTTTTTATTATCTCCCCTTAAAATATTTTTCCTGTGTTTATATTTCTGGTGAAATATTTGAGTCTCTTTGTTCATGTATTGTTATAATGAATTAAATGTGTTAAGCATGTCTACAAAATTAGTGTAAATAGAGTTTTTCTGTAATAGAAGTTTAGTTGTAAAAATTTTATAGTTCGTATAGACTATAAACATATTAACATCAATTTTATTAAAAGAAATAATTTAGAATATATTAGTTTGCTTTTATATTGAAATATATATAGTAATTAATTATAGTTAATAGCTTATGCATAAAAATGCCAGTGTGTGTAAGCCACTGATCATGACATTATATTTGTTTTCATTAACTTTTTACAGTGGTTTTGTTAAGACAAATCTGTGCATACATTACACATAAAAATATGTTTTTCCCCCAAAAAAATTACCCAAAGAGTCAGTGACACAAACTATTTTTTCCATAGGCTGATCATCAATTATTATGAAACAGTCCCATCGTATGAGGCAAAAGATAGATGTGATAATAAATTCTTATGCGATTATTTCATTACCTGATGGAACCACTTCATAATGTACATTTGACCTGTTACAACTTGATGCTTATAAGTCCCCTACCGACGAAGTCGAAGGGGACTTTAGGTTTGCACTCCATCCATCTGTCTGTCTGTCTGTCCATCTGTCCATCTGTCAGTCCGGCAAATCAGTTTTCCAGACTTTTTTTCTTCATGCTTGAAGATATTGATTTGATATTTGGTTTATTGATTTATCATGACAAGTTACAGGTCAAGTTCAATTTTCACTATTTTAGCTTTTCTCTTTGTTCAGTTAAAGCCCTTTCCCTAGAATTAAATTTTTAATGAAATACTTATTAATAAGTAGATTTCTGTTCAAAGGGAAATAACTCATTTTTGGAAAAGACAAAATGACATTTTGGATTTTTTTCCTTTTCTTTGGTAGATTGTTTGAAGAATAAAGTGGTAGGTTTGTTTGTCATTCTAGAAGCTATTGATTTGATAATTAGTATATAGTTTTATCATGACAAGTTACAGATCAAGTTGGAATTTTGTTCCAGTCTGATAATTTTGTGCAGAGTTATGGTCTTTGAACATAGAAAATTCACTTAAATAATCAGTTTTCAACATTTTTTTCGTCATGCTTGAAGATTTTGACTTGATATTTTTATGTAGTTTACACCATGACAAGTTATAGATCAAGTTAGAATTTCGTTCCATTACAATGAATTTGTAAACGGTAGGGGACTATGTATTGCCATGTAATACTCACAGAATGCTTGTTTGATTCAATAAATTGTTTATAAACATCATAGCACAATATGGTTAACAAAGCGGTGAAGACATGATGATTATGTCACACACACAAGGGAATTGAAAATAAAAACCATGATGCTGTTTAAATCCTAAATAGTTTGTATGTGTTTGCTAAAAGAAAATACTTGGCAGTGGTTATTTTTTTCAGTGATGATGTGATACTATTGGGTTTTTATACGACCGCAAAAAAATTGGTATGACGTTGGCGTCATCGTCATCCGAAGACACATTGGTTTTCGCACTCTAACTTTAGTTTAAGTGAATGGATCTCTATGAAATTTTACCATAAGGTTCAATACCACAAAAGGAAGGTTGGGATTGATTTTGGGGGTTATGGTACCAACAGTTAAGGAATTAGGGGCCAAAAAGGGGCCAAAAATAAGCATTTTTGTAACTTCCAGACATAACTTGTGTGTTAGTGTATGGATCTCTCTGACATTGTACCACAAGGTTCCATATCACACAGGGAATGCTGGGATTGATTTTGGGGGTAATTGCCTCAAAATATTAGGAATTAGGGGCCAAAAAAGGGGCAAAAAACAAGCATTTTTCTAGTTTCATGACAATAACTTGTGTGTAAGTGTATGGATCTTTCTGAAATTGTACTACAAGGTTCCATATCACAAAGGGAAAGCTGGAATTGAGTTTGGGGGTAATTGCCTAAAACGTTTAGGAAAAAGGGGTCAAAAAGGGGCCAAAAATAAGCATTTTTCTAGTTTCCAGACAATAACTTGTGTTCAAGTGTATGGATCTCTCTGAAATTGTACTGCAAGGTACCATACCACAAAGGGAAGGCTGGGATTGATTTAAGGGGTAAGTGCTTCAAAATTTTAGGAATTAGGGGCAAAAAACAAGCATTTTTCTAGTTTCATGACAATAACTTGTGTGTAAGTGTATGGATCTCTCTGACATTGTACTACACGGTTCCATATCACAAAGGGAAAGCTGGGTTTGAGTTTGGGGGTAATTGCCCCAAAGGTTTAGGAATTTGGTGCCAAAAATGGGCCAAAAAACAAGCATTTTTCTTGTTTCCAGACAATAACTTGTGTTCAAGTGTATGGATCTCTCTGAAATTGTACTGCAGGTACCACACCACAAAGGGAAGGCTGGGATTGAGTTTGGGGGTGATGAATCATAAGGGGGTTCAAAAAATTTGGGGGGGGGGATTTTTTTTTCTTTAAAATTTTCCATTTTAAATTGCTTATTTCTGATTTATATATAAAAGCAAATAATAATGATATGGTTTGAATAGGTAAATTAAAATTTTTTAAGTTCTTAGACCACATTCATTCTGTGTCAGAAACCTGTGCTGTGTCAAATATTTAATCACAATCCAAATTCAGTGCTGTATCAAGCTTGAATGTTGTGTCCATACTTGCCCCAACTGTTCAGGGTTCGACCTCTGCGGTCGTATCAAGCTGCGCCCAGCGGAGCATTTAATTGATGATTGGTGTGGTCTATTGTACCTTCTAATATTTTGGTAATTCATGTTACCCTTTTTATCTATAATGAAATGCAAAAAATGCAAATGTTGCACTGCTATAAAAAGATTAAACCATTTCGGACTTAAAGGTTCTACAAGTTTATGATTGTTTCATTCATATCATTGAAATAAATGTTCAGTAACTACAGGGCTTGTAATAACCTTACCTCAAATTCATGTGCCTGCCCATCAACAAGAATTCTATAAGCAGTTGACCTTATTTCTATTCGGTGATTTCTATTTTGAAGAATTTAATTTTATTGGCAGATATTGGAATTTTATGCGCCTGTCATACAAGTGAGGTTTAGCTAGCTATAAAACCAAGTTTTATCCACCATTTTCTACAAGAAAATGCATGTACCAAGTCAGGAATATGACAGTTGTTTTCCATTCTTTTGGTGTGTTTGATCTTGTGATTTTGCCATTTGATAAGGGACTTTCCGATTTGAAATTTCCTTGGAGTTCGGTAATTTTGTTATTTTACTTTTTGCTAGCCTCTTGAGACAATGGCCTTGAGTAATATAAAGCTTAGCACTTGCAAACTGCTGAAGACCTCTATGTTGACCCCTAGGTGGCATCAATAATGATTTTGACTTGTCCAACGTTTTTGTGTGCTGCCTAGATTTTTTCGTTAAGGAATTCGTTTACTAGTACTTTCATATTTCAGATGTTGAGGATTTGTTTAAAATCTCCACCCCATCTTTGGTAGTTTCAGAAAATAATCATTTGTACAGTGATTCTGGGCAAGTTAATAAATTATCTTGCATTTTCTGCTTTGTTTCGAAGGCAGGTAACTGAGTCTATTTTTATATTTTCGGGTAAGGAGGATAAAAAGGCGGTGTTGGTGATGGCATTAATTCTTCCGATTTTACAAAGGAAGAAAGGCATTTTCTACTGGTATTGCTGCACTAGAAGCTAAAAATGAGAAGTAGAGATTTTAGGGCGAAAGAAATATGTTTAAATAAGAGAGTTGGTTTTTTTTTCAGAATATTCAAACAAAATTATTCTTATGTTCAAATGCTTTACTGATAGAAAAAATAAGTCTTAATCTTCTACTCATTGGTCGGTTGCTTAAACCCTTTCATCATTTTATCAAGTAAAGAATTTTGGTTTTCAGGATTTTATGGGATGATATATTTTTTTCTTATTCATAGTTTCATCGTGGCTCTGGTTTTCCTTTGGTCTCATTCAGCTATCTGTTCCAAAGCTTTTGTATGTAATATAAGTTGGCTTCCATTTATTACAGAGTCTGTGAATCAAGAAGAGATACCAAAGATACCAAAGGGGTAATCATAAGTCGAAAAAAAAACTGACAATGCAATGGCAAAAACAAAACAAAAAACAATCAAAAGACAAACATTGTATAAAACATAACATAGAAAACTAAAGTCTAAGCAACTGGAGCTCGACCAAAAGCCGGGGGTAGTCTTAGGTGCTATGGCAGGGTAAACAGATCCTGCTACACAGCAGCCGGTTGTACGAACGTGGCATTAGCCTAATGGGTCATTAAGTCTTCATTAAGTTCAGTTCAGTTCAGTTTCTTGTATATTCCTCCATTAATTGTGGAGCACTACCCATAGGGTATAATTGTAGCAACTATATACACATTAGAACATAAGGAAACATTTAATTATGTACAGATGACTGAATTTAGGCAATAATAATTACTAAATAATTAATATTATAACTAAATCATAGGATTGTCATCATAAAATTTTAAAAATAATATTCATAATGTGCTGAGGTGTAAGAATAAGTTAAGTAAGAACTGGATATATTTACAAATAAGAATTTAGAATTTGAGTGGTCTTAAGTTTTGTATGTTATTAAATACAGAGTCAACTCTATCCTTCAGTATACTTTGTAATATTTTTGCAAAGGTTTTAGTCACAGTTATTCCTCTATAGCTAGATGGTAATGTTTTGTCTTTTTCTTTCTTTAGGATTGGTGTAAGAATCCGTGTCTTTAGGAAGATTGGTACATCCAGATATGTTAAAATTAAATTTAGCAAATGTACTATAAAGGGAGTTAACTCATCCATCCCATATTTGTAGTGTTCTGCCGAAATTCCATCCTCATCTGGTGCTTTTCCTGCTTTAAGTTTTTCTATAGCTTTATTAACCTCCTTTACATTGACATGATCGATGCCTTGACCTTTTTCCCTTTCTATGGATTCTATTATATTGTTTTGTATTTCTACAAGCTCTAGCTTTTCAGTGTAAAAATTTTCTTCTAATGTTGGCGTAGCTAGTTGTTGGAAATGTTCTTGCCAAATGTTCATTATGCTTGGTCCATCTTCTGCAGTCTTTTCATTCAGTTTCAGTATCTTGGTGTTAGTAAGTGGTGTTTTTCTTTGCATGTTAATAAGCTTGTAAAAAAGTTTTGTGTCTGCATTTGAAGCTTTCATAATTTTTCCCGCT